ATGTCTAATGAAACGCCATTCACAGATCCTAGCTGAGCAAACAAAACAGACCGAGTGCGAAACATAATTTTACTCTCTGTTACAGCGCGAAAAAAAGCCTTTTCAGAAATCAAGCATAGCGTTGAATTCCCGAGATTTAAGCTTTCCAATGATAACTGAAAGTGTACGGGAAAACTTTATCCAGCAAAAAATGCTCAGAAGAACTTGCGTACCTTTAAAGATATACGCCATCCGAAAAGGTGAAAAAGGAGTGTAAAAAACAAAAACACCTGGTCAAGATCGGCAGCCGTCCCGGCACCACATGCGTAAATGGATTCAGTTAAGCAATGAACCTTCTGACAATGCTTATCGGCAATGATATTTCCTGCCGTAGCACGAGAATCAGCGCCCATCACAAGGCCTCCCTAGAGTGATTTAAATAGAAGCGTTCAACGATATCAAGAGATAAGGATATAACATGATCTGAACCATTGAAGGTCTAGATGCTATACAGGCGCCAGTTTCATCCTATCCAGACTCATTAGTTGCTCCGTTAGGACGAAACAGACGCCTGCATTGCACTGGGACCTCAATGGCTTAGAATATGTTACATCCTCATCGGATTGTTTGAGTGACGTTTATAAAAAAGCGGACGAATTGAAAGATATCAAGAGATGAAGAGGCTCACCTTGTAAGTACTCGCTACTATCGTTGTACCAGTAGATCGTACTTTTGGAGCTACTCCGCCCATTCTCGCCAGAGCCATATTGCGAATACAATTGGAAAAATCGAACGCACCGCCTCGATCCAGCTCCATTGGAAGCACTTGCTTCTGCACTTCAGAGCACGCCATTCCCTAAAATAACGAAATTTAGCAGACAAAGGTTTCTATGAGATTCAGAGACGATGATGGAATGAACCGCCGCAAACACCACGTTACTGAAGACTTGATAGAAAGCCGACATGAACACAACTCTCATTTGTAAAGTGCAGCGACCAATATTCGGCGCTTGTGGGAAGTTGTGATCTCATGAGGCGTAAAGGTGAGAAACATAACCTTATTATGAATGATGCAGGGTTGTAAGAAGACCTTTCTAGAAGACAAGTATACTTTTGAACTCACTAAAATTTACGCTACTCAAATGTCACTAGAAGTTCTAAAAAACTTTGCGCAACGAAAAAAACGTGCTAATAAACAAAAGTTTACGCAGTAGAGCAAAGAACACCAGATTTATTGAGCAAAAGTAATTAAAATCGCATGATTTTGGTATCGTTCAATTGCGCATCTTCTTGCGAACATTCTGGTATACATCTTGCCTAACTTGCTTTGAGATGGAGCTGTCTTGAGGACAAATTCGCTTGCTACTCATGCACGAATGGCTCGTAAGGGAAAATGCTAGTGGAGCGGCGCGCAAGACTAATAGGAGGGAATGGGGCGATGATATGGTTGCAGAAACGAGGGCTAGGAAGTGGTTCGCAAAGTTCAAAGCTGAAGAGAACAGTCTGGAGGGATCGGTCGCGCTCGGGTCGTCCAAGGAAGCTCCTTTAGTCTTGCGCGTCACTTCACTAGCATTTTCCCCTACGGGCCATTCGTGCATGAGTAGCAAGCGAATTTGTCCCAAGACAGCTCCATCTCAAAGCAAGTATAGGCAAGTTGTATACCAAAATGTTCGCAAGAAAATGCGCAATTGAACGATACCAAAACCATGCGAATTAAATTACTTCTGGTTAATATAATTCGTGTTTATTGCTCTACTGCCAAAACCTACGGATCGACCTATGATTCTTGGACAAGGCTTTTTTTCTCTAATCTTCCAAAGAATTTCAAGAAGCGTAAATTCTGGTGAGTTCAAAAATGTACTTGTTTTTCAGTAAAGTCTTCTTACAACTCTGTAGCATTCATGATAAGATTATGTTTCTCACGTCTCACGCACTGCGTTTGATGGGACCAGAACTCTTCACTTGATCGAACCAATATTGATATAAAGGAGGGGGTAGCACAGTGGATAAAGATGTCGTACATCAAGAATAGAGATAAGAAGCGATGCGCTGGTTCGATCCGCCTCGCCAAACGATTCAAATTCAAAATATTTGAATACGACACAGTAATTTTGATGAGTAAACAAAGCAACACAATGGCAAAAACCTTCAAAAGAAGCATTAATTCGAGGGGAATTTGTGGTCAACAAGAGGCAACATCAAGAAGAACAGAGAGAGACCGCCCTCGTAGATTTGTCATGCCGCCTTTATATCATCATGTAGTGACTGGAGCGTGCATTTCGCAACGGAGCGCATCAGAAAGCTAGCTATGACAGTATAGGCGGGTGTTTATATCAGCTAGAGACAGGTGTAAATACTCCGGCGTCCGTTCTTCTGTATAGGAAATATCCTCTTGTGGAACTGACTGAACTGGAAGACACCGTGCCATTGACGAGGTTGTAAGGCCGAAACCCGTGTCTTCTACTGCATAAGTGCCACGACAGACCTCATGAAAGGCTCAAAATATGTTACCATAATTTACATCGTTTTGATCCACGTTTCAAAAACAGTTGAAAAGCAAGGAGACTACTTGGCTAATTTACTGTGCTACTATCTTGGGTACAGCGGTTGCATGCCGAGAATTTCCCGATCATGTTCCGCACCCCCTTAATAACCGGTTGACTCCCGCGGACCCAAGCTGGGCGTGTCCGCTTGCGCGGGAACGACTCCACTTCCTCTGCGCCGATTACTCGCCGACTACAGTGCTACTTTTCGTTGCAACACCCTCAGCTATGTTTTGAACTGATCCGTGGCGGACACACCCAGTTAGGGTCTGTAGAAGTCAACCGGTTAACCCTTTGAGTACAGTGTATTTTGTAGCACAACCTGCGGCGTTGCGCTTTGCTCAGCTTCTGAAATCGCCTTTAGAGGTCTTCTTCAGTACAAAGTCCATGTGTTAAATATCTCCTGCTTCAACGAGAAAACCATGAACTCTCGAAAATGAACGTATTACCAGCTGTTTTATAAGATTTATTCCATTTTTCTTCCATGTCTTCGTACCGCGTAAACGATCAGCGCGGCTCCGCCTGCTACCAACGACCGTATCCAAAGGATCAAATTTCTTGACGACACTGACATCTTACGAAATCCACAAACTTTTCTTCAGATCATTTGAAACCCTGATAATCAATTACCGTCCTCTGCGTTAAGAAGAACTTTACAACAATATTGACCCCTAGAGTGCATTGATAAGTGGCTCAAAAGGCCATACTTTAGCCAGAAGCGCAGTAATAACAATGGTCGGAATCAAAATTACATGAACCCTATGACTCAAGGTTATTTTAATTTTACGATAAGCTACCGGCTGACCTTCCGGCGGTATCGTCTTCTTCAGAGCGATTTCGTTCTCTTTGATTGTTCCAAACGTCACTACCTTATGTAAGACTCTGCTTGTCTCTAATGAATAATTAAAAGACTTAAAAACAACATAACGACTCTGAAGAAAGCGATATTGTTGAAACATCAGCCATTATGTTAAAGTATGAGTCGTATTCAACAAATTCCACTACTAACTGCTTTTTATCAGCTCGTCAAAAAAAAACACTGATTTATTCAATCAATACCGAGGTCAATAGATAGTCAGTTCTCAGAAATTTATAACTTTTCCCTTACATGAGTCGTCTTTGGCACATTCACCGTACGGATACCAGCACTTCTTTCATTCCGTTCGTCTCATTGAATTCAAGTTTTTTCTGTTGGACGGAAACGAATTAAGAAATGACCCCTTTCGCTGGACGAAAACTTCGAAAGCTCAGATCTTTGGCTACTGCGCTACGTGCTGCTTTTTTGATAACACCCTCTTATAACGCTGTGGCATTTGGGATGAAATTATTCTTACAGTAACCGCGCGCTTTTACCATTACTTAGGTGGAAGCACGAAATGCATATGAACTTGAAGAGGAAATCTTGTAGCATCAGAGTCATACGTTTTATCTAAAGTTTCTTTCAAAGCGGAGAAACCATTCCTAATTGAATGACAAAAACTGCGCTCCACGTGAGCTGCGTCAGCGTGATCGACTGGTCGCCGTATCGATCCACGGTCAGCACACAATAGGCGACAAGCAAATGCGCAGCGTATGTAAAACTCAATTTTATTCTGCCTCCTGAATTGCAGTGAAACGGTCTTTTCAAGAAATAGGCAAAGTATTGTAAATATCGAGGCTTGCGCTCTCGAATGGTTACTTATATTTGGCAAAGGAGTTGTGCCCTGCGAGAAATATGCGTGTGTGAAACACGAATGTTTTCTTCCTGCTACGCGTTATAAAAAGACTTTTCCAGGTGAAAAATAACGGCCACGCAGTGCAGCAACCAGGGATTTCATTTTTCGAATGATCACTAGCACTCATATGAAAATTGCTTGTCCAGCGAAAGAGGTCGTTTCTTAATTTGCTTCCGTAAAACAGAAAAGAACCGCAATTATTACGCACGAATGTCTTCGAATTTTTACACTCCTTTACGAATGTCTGAACGGCATCACTGCTATCGTGCTTCAGCGATACTTCCTTAGTGAACGATACTTAGACTACATCACCCTGCATCACTGGGTATATTATAACATCATAACACCGCGAAAGGCGGTCAACTAGTGAATGAATTCTGATTGATCATCGATACCAAATATCTGCCAGCATCAGTGGCTTCAGTGTCGATAGCGACCACCCACACCAGACCGTTGACGGTTGGTCGCTGACAGATAGATGCGCTGTAGCGTAGAAAGAGTGGTATCAAAACGGGCTTCAGTAGTGGAACGGTTTGAGCATGCGCCCCGGATAGTGTGAAATGTGGGTTCGAATTCCACCGATGCAAAAGTTTTGCACATCACTCTACATCACTGGATACTTAGACTGCTACGACACAAATCGCAAAGCTCCACATCGTACAACCAATGGAACCTTACTTTACCTAGCTGATACATCAGATCTCCCGTGAATCGATTAATATTTTTCTAATATGCAAGAACGCTGAGTGATATGCAATTTTGTAATTCCGGACGGGAGCGGAATCCGCGTCTCACCCTTTCCGGAGATGCGTGCTAACCACTGCACTACCGGGTTTCGTATATCACTTAGCATTCCTGGGTATGTAATCATATCATCATGACACTGTTGCTAAGGCGATAAAATAAAGAATTCTTGCAGATTCACCGGATATTTTGACAATTATCCGAGGTCTACAGATGTTACTTTTGCTGAGAATGCTCTCAGAAAATCCGTGAGTTGGCTTATGGTGACGCAATTTGCGATGTTCGTACAGCTCAGTGTTGGATAAAGACATTCCGCGAAGAGGGAGACCGATTGACCGACAAGCAAATAGAGGAACGTCTACGAGAAGTCTATGGCATAGTAGTCATTAGTCGAATTGAAGCAGACCCGTCAATGAGTTCCCGGATGTTGGCTGACAAGTTTGATTGTGATCCAATGACGATTTGTCACTTTCTCCAGGATTGTCTTGATGTGGAAGAAAACTATTTCGACTATTAGTTTGTCTCTTGCCTGAGCTTAACTGGTGCAGGAAAAGAATTTTCCTATGCGTTTCAGAAATACGACACAACTTTTCCTACAACATATTAAATTCTAAGACTTTATGCTATGATTCATCAAAGCTTGCGATCTGATATGTGTTTCAGAGGAAGATTTAAAAATGCTCGACACTTGACGACGTTTAAGTGGCTGTGAACAAGTCAATAGAAGCTAAAATTCTCTACAAAGGCGATCTTCCACAAGGCATCCATTTCTGTTTTGACAAGATCCTATCTATTTTCAACTCCACTTTCTGAAATGCACGTGCTTCCCTCAACATTGCTCAAAGGTAAACCCTAGAAAAGTTGGCTATTGTTATCTCTATGCCGAAAAACCTTCTAGACCGTTACATGGCGACGTTTTTGACTGCTTGTGCACATTCCGATATGGTGATGATTAATGGTGAATATGCAGATCCCAATGGGTTCCATCAAAATCTCCTTATGTTGGATATAGTGACAACGATATTAGCTGCATGGATACATCGCTTCGTATGCAGATGTATCAGAGCTTGAACCCTTAAATTTGAACTATGACGGGTTTTCCGCTAGGTTAGTGTAAGATACGTATGAAGATTCAGCAGCTGAAGTGACAGCATTAGCATAAGAACTTCTTCGAAAAGCCTACAAAGTTAAAATTCAAAAACCTAAGCACACAACGTTATAGGAGCATGTTTGTTCTACAGCAAAACTTCCAAACGGAGTCATAGAGACCACAAATTCATTATCACACGGAAGCATCCATTTACAAAAAGTCATGAAAACTAATGGAGTGCTCATCCTCAGTGAAAAATTCGAAACAAAACAGTATATCACAATTATGTCAATTATGTAAACTGGTGAGAGCATCCGAACAGTTTTCAACAATTTAAAACAATTTAATCAATTTAAAAGTCAGTTAATTGATCCATAATGCAATAGTCAATATCTACAACAATTAAAAGATTTTACGAAGATTATAGGCAGCATAAACAATGAAAGCTATCGTGATTGTGTTGAGGACAATAAACTTGCTAACAGCTAACAAAGCTTCTTTAAGTGGGTTTTTGCAAAGAGTTGGTTGAGTCCGATAGAGGTAATTTTCTCCTCACATAAGAGGAGGCCCGTTGCAGGAACTGAAAATATGACAACATTGACAATTCGTCCTCTGTATACATTAATGTAAATATTCATAACTATTCTATATCATTACAGTCAAGCAATGTTACCTTTATTCCACTCCTTCTCCTTGAGCTATGGCTCCCATGTTTTATTACATTCTCACTTCCCGATGGTGAATTATAACCGACAACTTCTGCGGCGTAAGCACAACGCATAGCCGGATGGAGCATCCTGAAGAACCAAAACTTACATAAAACATTAATCTTATTCGAGCCAACATGTCATGTGATCTGCTATGGGCTCTTGTACAGCTGTATACACGTGTTTCGGCCTTGCAGCCTCGCCAGTCGAGCAGGCCCTTCGTCTTTGGCCAATCTTCTCGGAAGTCCCTACATCCCCTATAAAGAGGAAGGCGACGAGGAGCGACTTACACCCGAGAGGATTGGCTAAAGACGAAGAGCCTGCTCGACTGACGAGAGTACAAGGCCGAAACACGTGTAGAGCCCATAACAGAACACGTGACATGTTGGCTCAATTAATAACTATGGAATATATTAAAATTTGACCGTGGTTTTAATAAAACACTCAAACCCATATAACAATTGACATTTTTTCTACACACAGCAATGAACATTTCCTTGAGCAACCTACTGATCAGTATTGTGTGACGACACACCGGTGACGACTCTAATTTGAGTAGTTAGACTGCGGATTTCATTCAACAGATGGACATTTGAAAATTTTTTTTTGCATCAGGCGAAGTAGCCGAAAGTTGGCCATCGATTTTGAAGTAGAACAATCAGTCTCGAGAATTTTTTTTTGCCAAGAAAGGACGATTCGTGAAACGGTTTTCATTTATTATGCTGAGATTTAGTGTAAGTTTGCCTTGCGATCTCTTACAACATGTAATATTCTTACCTGTGATACCCCGAAACTCAGCCGATTTCCATATGTCGCACGATTAATGATATTTTGGCCATCGTTTCTTTGCCTTTCAAGCATTATCTGCGACCATACGTGAGGCCGAATATGACGTCAACTGCTATTTACATGACGTTATTTTTCTTTATAAATACATTGAATAAGAGCGCACGTGGCGCAGTGATTAGAAATGCGATGCGTCGCATACAAGGTTGATTGTTCGACCACATGCTTACGACTGACCAAGCCATTAATCCCTCCGGCGTCAGTAAACTGGTATAGGAGTGGTCGCAGACTTATCTGGGAGTATGAGCAGCAATGACTCGATACAGCAGAAGGCCAGCGCGAGTCATTGTAAAGGCCAGATATGCATTCAATCATCTCAAGCGAAGTGAAAAATTGAAGAAATGCATGGCGCATCCTTCAGGAATTGATCAACGCCAAAAGCTTTATCCCTTATCTTTTGGTACGTTAAATGCTGATCAGGTTCCTAGCCAAGTTCGCAATCAACGATTGTCATTTGAACATTTCATGCGTCCGAAATGTTAGATTATGCGGTAATGTCCAGTCTATCTGTGATCCCTGACGTAGTCCAGATCTTACACTCCGTTTCTCACATGGTTTACACGGTATACTTTCAGCATCACCACTTGATGTTTTACAAAGCTGAGTGATCTCAATTTGCTTATGCAACGTGTAAATCTCTGAGAAATAGGCTGAAGCAATACAGAGTGTACAACAGGTCGTTTACTTCCGCTCATCTCTGTATTTACATAGAGCCAGATCATATGAGGTTGTTTCTCCCTAGGAATATTTTGATGCATAGGAATTGAATCCGCTTCTCTTTATATTACTTTCTTCAGGGTTAATCAAAGAATGATTGCTTCACAAACCGTGCCGAATTCGACCTATATTTCTGATGTGCTCATCCGTAACGTAATATAAGAAATGATGTCACTAGCAAAATGATTATCCCTTGGAGGACCACCGCTGATAGGCAGGTGGCGTCGTGCCGCCGCATATGCGGCAATCCAGCATGTGGTATCTGAATATCTGTGCCTATATGTCTGGCGTTCTATCTAGATGTCTTTCCCACGAGACGCGACACCGCCATTGCAGTAGCTGAGTGAGATTTGACGTCGCGCGGCTCGATATGAAACGCACCGTGTGGTTCTTGGAAAATCATAGTAGGATGCGATTAATACATGAGAAGCTGACACACTTTCTAGGGACGTTAGCTATTCAAATCTTCCACGAACGCTTCTGCCGAGTCGAAAGCCTTCTTAACCCTTTGAAGACCATGAGAGTGATTTTGCTTCTCAACGCGCGACATCAAATCTCACTCGAGTACTGTAGTGACGGCGTCGCGTCTCGTGGGAAAGCAATGACGCGACGCCACATGCCTATCAACGGTGGTCTTCAGAAAGGTTAAGGCGATAAGAAAAATTGATGAATTAGTGAAACCATCTTTTGTCATTCTGTCGAATACTACTCGAATGGAGGAGTTTTGCAACGATATGAGGCTGGCAGAATGAGCAGTTCCGAATGTCATGAAGATCTCGATTTTGAGGAAAACGGCCCTGATACTTGACTATTGATTTGAGACATTCCAGTCTGGAAGACAATGTGTGATAAACCACGTTCAATGCGTTGACGATTAATAGATAGAGCTTCACGTCTAGTCTCTATTGTTGTTCAAAGAAAATTCAGCACTAAGACTTCAGGGACAACAATCGTCAACATTACTTAATATCAATATGGGATCTTTTGCATGGTCTTTTTGAGGTAATTACCATGTGGTAAAGGTGCTGGACGACAACCATATTGGCCTTCTAGTTAGCCAAATACCACCAAAACTGTAGATCTACTTAACGGCTTCCGAAGCTTCAATTAACTTTAGTGCTAAATTTTTGAGATCGTACTTCATCACTTTCGGATTGCTGACATGAGTTAATGCCTGCATGTCTTGCAACATAGCGATGAAGATCATGTGTTTCTGAAGACAAACATTTCTTAAGTAGCCCAATAAAATCGACTTATTAGCACTAACGACATGTTTGATGATTCCTGCGTAGTCCGTGACAATGTTGAACGAAAATTAAGATGAAAATTAACGAATGAAAAACTGAGTAGACGTTCTTAGCATGATAAAACAGCTCAAGAAAGTCTTAAAGACTAACGCGTTTCTTCTCTGCAGCTCACTCACTCTTGACTGATCTGTCTCAAAGGTAACGTCCTTGGCTTCCGAGACATCTGAATAAACACATGTGTTCACAAACAGATCAAATGAAAAACTCATAGTAGAGATGTCTCAAAACTTCAAATTCTACATTGTTCATTAAAATATGATATAGGGCAATACTTAAGCAAAAAACTACTCAAATTTTGTAAAGCGAGTGAAAAACATCAGAACAGAAAAGCCAAAAAAAATTGCCAAACAACATAAGGTCTAGAGCAAATCAGGATGAATCGATCATTTACTTACGAGATTCCACTAGGGAAAGTTTTGAGTT